ACAGGCGCCCGCCACCTCGCCCGGCTAGTTTTTTGTATTTTTTAGTAGAGACGGGGTTTCACCGGGTTAGCCAGGATGGTCTCGATCTCCTGATCTCGTGATCCATCCCACTCGGCCTCCCAAAGTGCTGGGATTACAGGCTTGAGCCACCGCGCCCGACCTTCCCATTCTCCTTAATAATATGTTGAGCAGAATTGTTCATCTAAGTTGACTTTGCTTTTTTGTGGTCATTGTTTTTTCTATTTTTATTTACATAGTCAGATGCTAAGTTTTAAGCTTTTGAATAGTATGTCTGTCTGATATATCACTTCTTCCAGGAGCCTCCCTAAGAGAACTATAAATCTGCAATGAGAAGGAAGTATGGGCAAATGAGTGAGAAAAATGTGAAGGAAAGAATCCCTGCTAAACATTGCCGCAATTGAATATTTCACACTTAAATTATTCTCACCATGTTATTTCCAAAAGGTTGCTCATTAGGTTTTCACTTGCCTTGATGACCTTAATTAGACTTGTTCCAGATTTATGAGAACTGTAAAATTAGGAAACTTTCATTAAACAAACAAACAAAAAAATGAAAACGCCCGGATGGTTTTCCAAAGCACATACAGCATTACTTAAGACTATGATTTTCAGCTAGTTGTATATATCTATCTACAGCTCCAGCCAGGTCTGTAAGAATTCTGTGACTGAGGCCTAATGGAACCAATTTTCACTCTGGCAGAACAAATTCAAGTTCTAATACTAACTTGAATTCCAGTTTCCTTTAGATGCCAGGAATCAGATCCTTTAAGAGGAAATTGTATCAGCACTTCTGCCTATTAAGCGATATTCCATATAGTTCGTCTAAATAGCTAGCAGGAACAACTGACTCAAGTCAAATCTAAGACAGAAAACAAATGCTTTTTAATTACTGAAATTGTTTTATTATTATTTTAAAATACTAGTCAAGTGCGGTTATTCTGTTGGTGCTGGTGGTGGTGGTGGTGGTGGTGGGTTTGTTTGTTTTTGTTTGTTTGCTTTAGTCTTTTCCTTTCAGGGCCTCGATTTTCTGCAAACTTCACTTATCTTGACTGTGGACCACTGACCTTCTTTAAACAGGAACCAATATATTCACTCACCTACACTAACAATCATATTACAGTCACAGGCCATTAACTGTCACTCACATTTTTATTACCCTGCATCTGATGAACATTGATACACTTGGGTGTCTTCCTCTGCACTGGGGAAAAAAAATAATTTAGATAGAATTCTAAAAGTTAGCATGTTTTGTCAATAGCTTCATTGTTCCTCATGCCCATTCATCACATCTTGCTTGCTATTGAAATCCTCCCTTGCTTTGTAACATTATTAAAGTCAGTCATTATTAAAGTCGTCTCAAAAAGAGATACCTCTGCAACTTCTAAGATGTTGTCAACCAGGAATCATATTTTCAATACTTCAAATTATATTGTATTTCCAAGCTTTGGAAACAAATATAATATTCTTGCATATTTTCTAAGATGAAATTTCATGTAGACAATGATGTGATAGAAAAGATGATGCTTATATAATGATTTTGGCATTGCCCCTTGATAACTATGACGCTGAGAAAACCAGCATTGGTTTTCCTATTATCAGAACAAATTACAGTCCATGTTCTTTTTTTTTTTTTTGAGAGGGAGTCTCACTCTGTCTCCCAGGCCGGTGTGCAGTGGCCAGATCTCAGCTCACTGCAAGCTCCGCCTCCCGGGTTTACGCCATTCTCCTGCCTCAGCCTCCCCAGTCGCTGGGACTACAGGCGCCCACCACCTCGCCTGGCTAGTTTTTGTGTGTGTGTTGTTTTTTAGTAGAGATGGGGTTTCACCGTGTTAGCCAGGATGGTCTCGATTTCCTGACCTCGTGATCCGCCCGTCTCGGCCTCCCAAAGTGCTGGGATTACAGGCTTGAGCCACCGCGCTGGCCCAGTCCATGTTCTGGAGTCCTACATGTCTTACATTTGAGAGAGAGAAATCACTGGGAAATAAAAAAAGGGAAATAGTTATATCTGTATCCATCTAGTTTCACTAACATATCTTTAAGGTACAGATTTTTTATAACAATCACATATGGCCGGGTGTGGTGGCTCGCGCCTGTAATCCTAGCACTTCAGGAAGCCGAGGTGGGCGGATCACGAGATCAGGAGTTTGAGACCAGCCTGGCCAATATGGTGAAAAACCATCTCTACTAAAAACACAAAAAAATTAGCCGGGTGTGGTGTCGAGCGCCTGTAGTCCCAGCTACTCAGGAGTCTGAGGCAGAAGAATCCCTTGAACCAGGGAGACAGAGGTTGCAGTGAGCCAAGATTGTGCCACTGCACTCCAGCCTGGGTGACAGAGCGAAATTTCATCTCCAAAAAAAAAAAACAACCAAAAAAACAACAAAAAAAAACACCATATGATTTTACAAGACCAACTTAAGGGGGATTCTTATGTTGCTTTAGTTTTGTTTTTCACAAAAACTAGATTTAATTCAAGCTTCACGAAAAGGCTAAAATAACACACAAATAAGTCCATAGTTCCTAATTTTCCAACCCTTCCTTCAGTAGGCATTGCAGGTCATTTGAACCAGATAGTTTAAATTTTTGATGGTGCAGCTAAGTGAATAAGCATCCCTCCACAGAATGCATGCACTGTTGTGTCATTTTCAATTAATGTGAAATAGTTTTGCCAAAATATGACTGCAAATGTGAAGCTGCTATTCTGAACATTTGGAACAACTATAGCTCATTTTTCATTATGTGTTGTTTTGGTATAAAAATACTGTTTAAGCAGTTCATGAATACTCTTTTCCATTTAATCACAAAGAAATATATTCAGAGTGAACATGATCACTTTATTGGTTACCAAAGATCCTTGGCAAAGTGCAAGCACCATGAAGAACGAAAGTAAGTCTTCAACAGTTTCCCAACTTCAATGAAAACCTATATGGGCCTAGATTTACAGATTACACATTAAGAAAAAGTCTGTGCATGATGTATCTGCTGCGTGTGTATTCGTATGTGGGAAATAAAGCAAGCCAGAGAGAAAGTGGGTGGGGGCACAATTGCAAAAAGTTATCTCTCCTAGGAGATTTATTATTGGGAAATGGAGAAACAGATAATTCAGCACTCTTCTTTCTGGTTACAATACAACACTAGAAAAAAAAACTAATTTTTTATAATTTACCATAGAATCTCTTGTCTTAGACTAGAAGGAATACAATCCCTGTTACATGTGTATATATGTCCATGTGTACACACACATTTTTCTCTTCTGAAATGTTTATCTCAAATCTCTTTCAATCAAAATGAGTTGAGCTTCAAACAGGATCTGGGTGAGACAGAACCTTTTTAAAACTGTGCTCAACTCAGTGAATGCTTTAAAAGTGAATTAATGAATAGTATCCTCAAATGCAAAAACATGCTCCAAGACTGACTGCCTCTCTACATTTTGATTCTGAAAGAAAGTGCTTGGGTTTTTAAAGAACAAAGAAGAAAAGCCTTCATTTTTCCTTCCTTCCCTTCCTCTCCACAATTTAACCAAGCATTTTTTTTCTAGGTTCTTTTCTTTAACATAAAAACAATAAAGCTCTTCTGTCTTTCTTCTCTCTTCCTCTTTCTATCTCCAGGACCACAAATTTGACTAAAAATAATTGTCCACATGGAATCCTTAATACATCAACATAGGAAGGAGACACTCACTATCCCAAGACTCAGCCCACCTGCCCTAGATTTAAAGTATGCATTACAGGCTGATTAAGTCTGGCGCATGGTTTATCTGGTGAGCGTTCCCCACCCCACTTCTTGAGGCTTTGCTTGCTCATCTAGGGGTCCCTGGAAGGCCCCCAGCACCCGCTAGCAGGGCGCGAGGTGAGTGGAGAGTCTGCCCGGGTGCTGGGTGATGTGCCCGGCAACTTCTGCTTTTTCCCCTGGGGGAAACTGTGACGTTAGAAAGGTATCCGCAAGTGTTTCTTCTGGTTGGCCTGGAGGTTTCCCGAGCCCCTGGACTGGCGACCCAAACCCCTACACTTCCTGCCCGGTGCTTGGAAGAAACCCAGATCAGCAGACAAATCAACGCGCACCACACACTGCGCCCCAACATCGAGCGCCAACATGTGCCTTTCAGGCCAAACGAGAAAGCACGGACCCCTTGCAAGGAGCATATGACCTCGGCGTGACCCGTGGAGAGGCGGGACCCCAGTGGAGAGCGAAGCACGGAGAAGCCTGGGAAGGAGGTGGTGAGAGGGGCACAGTCCAGGCTGCCCCATGCGCGCTGGGGTTGTCGCCGCGCGTCCTGCGCGCCCCAGTGCCCCTAGAATCTCCAAGAGAGCAAAAGTGAGCGCGGATCAGTTTCTCTCTTTCCCAGAAAGCGAGCTTTTTATTGAGGGGAAACTTAGCTGGGAAAAGTCTGCTCCTACGTTTGTTTTGGTTTTTCGTCTATTTGCTTCCCAATTTAAAAGGGGCCGTCTGGGCGACAGGCTTGCGGTTTTCACAGTGTAAAACGGATTAGAGGAAAAGCTCCAGCCCCTCTCGACTTTCGCTTGCGGTTTGCAACCCCTGGGGAGGGTCTGACCCCGCGCGGCACTTGCCCAGGCGAGCTTCCCTCGCGGCGGCCAGACCCCCTCGCGGACTCGGTTTCCCCGAGGTAGGACCCACTAGGTGGGCCGCTGGGCCCCAGGCCTGGCAGGGCGGAGCCTAAGCCGAGCGCCCCGGGGTTGGAGGTTCCCACGGTGCTGGGAAACTGCGCGCCCCAGGTCCGCAGGCAGCCTCCCTTCCCCCGCGCCCTCGCACCTGCCCTCTGCTCAGCTGCTCCCGGTCCTGGGTGTGCGGCAGTCCCGGGGGTCCCTCTCCTGGAAGCAGAGGAGGAATTTGGTGCAAAAGGAAGGGAATTTACTGCGGATGGCACCGGAACCTGGATTGGCTTGTGCGTTTCCTGCTCTGGGCACGTAGGTTTCCCCTAGAAATCTGGAGTTCGCTGAGGACACTTATTTCCAAGAGATTGTGGGTTCACATACACATACCATTTACATACACATACCATAAGTTCACATACACATACCATTAACTTAATACCATTAAGTTAAAAATAAAGAAAAAAGAAAAACTGCACTTCGATCTTCTCCACTTTCCCTGGTATCACCAAATAAATAAAGCATGCGGACGAGAGTGGGCTGCTGCTGGGGGCTCGAGAGGTGCGCGAGACGAGGTTACCCTGCGGGTCCGCCGCTGCCCCCGGCCTCTAGCACCGCACCTGCCCACGAGTTTGCGAGATAGGAGCGCCGAAGGAGAACCCCGGACCGCCCAGTCTCACCCTAAAAACTTGTATCTAAGAGTCCTACGGTTGTGGAAGTGCCAATCCTCCGCGACCCCTTCATGCTGGCCTTCTGCTTTTTATAAACGAAAATAAAAGTTTGATTTAGGCTTAAAGAAATGCCATTCTGGTCGTTCCTCCCTGAAGCGAGACTTACGCATCCTTATATACTCGCAGGGAATTTTCAATCTCGCCTGTCGAAATCGCTATCTGGGCATCCGCGGACGAAGTCCTGCAGGTGGTAGGGTCAAGGGATCAAGCAGATAGCAGCAGGGATTAGCACACTCCGGCCGTTCCAGACGGTCAGGCCCACTGCTCGAGGGAAACATGCAGCGATGGAGCCAGGGCTGCGGACTGCGGACCACGAGAGCCGCGCACGCGGGCTGGGAACCCGGTGGTGCCACCTTAAGAGTAGGGTCGGCGCAGCGGCTGTGGAGGCGCCCGGTACCTGCAGGGGGCGCTGCTGTCCCGTGGTTTCTCCCGCGCCGCCGCGTGCAGCGGGCCTGGCAGCTCCGGGGCCCCGGTCCCCGGAGGGGGTGGGGACTCTGGGGGAGGAAGGGATCGAAGTGCAGCCGTTAGGTAAGGAACCCGAGCTCTCCCGGATTTAGAAGCGGCCTCAGTGAGGCGTTTGCAGGAGGGAGCTTTCCATCATTCGGCCGCGAGAGGAAACGTGGGGAGACGCCCTCCCCTACCCCCACTGCCTGCCTTCCTGCCTCCCTCCACCTCCGCTCCCCAACCCCGATCGTGCTTCCCAGACCCTTTGTTCTCGAGGTTGGGAACGGCTGGGTGGGGGTTCCCCGGGGAAGAGGTCCCCCGCGCCACTCGGAGGGTAAGGGACTGCCGCCTGCCCCGCACCCCGGCCCTCCCCGGTGCCGTCCCCCTCTCCCCTGGCCCCTTCCATCGCGTGCTTCCGTTCTCACTCGGACTCCCCCAGCTCCCGAGCTCCGGCTCCCCAGCCTGCACTGTCTGCAAGCCCGCCTGCCTTCCCACCTCCCCGCCATCTCCGAGGTCCCCGGGAAGAGGGGAGGACAGGGAGACGTGTGGGGGAGGAGCAACCACTGAGCCTTCTCGGCGCGGAGCATTCCCAGGGACCCTTCCAGGCCCAACCCCTGGGACCCGCTGCAGAGGCAGGGCTTTCCTGGCGCCGCCGCAGGTCGCAAGGGCCGCCCCCGCCGCGTCGCCCTGGGGCCCACGGGTGCACTGCCCGGGCAACGAGGCAAGGCGCGCCCTCTCAGCGCCAGGACCCAAGACCCCCAGCTGGAGAGAAGGGGACACCGTGGTCCGCGCCCTGGGGAAGCTAATTGCACACGAACTCCCCCCTCTTCCCCGCCCCCCACCGTACCCTCTGCAGCGCCACCCGCGTCGCCTCTCCGCCGTGCGCCACCCTGAGGGCTCCCGCGATTGTATCTTCTTGAGCACAGTTACCAATGCGTTCAGCTTCGTTTCATACTCGGATGGAGGCGTCGCGGAGGGAAGCGAGGAGACAGGGATGCGGGAGTAAGGGAAAGGTGGGGCGGGAAACAGAGCAGAGAGGTGGGAGACGTGGCTGAGGCAATGGCACTGGGCAGCGCCGCCCGGAGTCCCGAGTCCAGGTCCACGAGGCAGGCCCCGGTGCAGCCGCCCCCCGGCCGAACCCTGCATGTCCTCTGTACTGTAGACGCGAGTCCGCGGAGCGCCACTCACACCCCCGCACCCCTGCAAGCTCCCACGGTAGAGGGAGCTCGGCACCAGCCGGGTCACAAAGTAGGTGCCCCCACCCCCCACCCCCAGGTGAAGAGGACGCAGCCCGGCGCCGTCAGCTCCAGGCTGCCTGGAGCCCCCTCCGGCCTCTCGGTGTGACCCTGGTCCTCACTGGGCTCGTCGCGAGCTGCGCTAGCTGTTCTTTCAGCAGCGGGTTCCCCAGGACACACCCCGGCCCCACCCCCCGAGAGCTGGCGGCCAGCTCAGGATGCCAGGCGGCCAGGCGGGCGCCCTGCCAAATTCCGCGTTCCTCTCCAGGAGACGGGGAGTTGCGTCCCAGGCTCGGGAAAGCCCGCAGTTCGGGCTTGGGACTCGCTTGCAAAGCCCCCTAAGGCGCCAGGGACGCCTCTGCAGGTTGAATTCCTGCTCCGTATCACTTCAATTTTAATTAATCTTTTAAAACACCGCTGTCACGTCGCTTGCAGAAAATTAATCAAACTTGAATCCTTGTTGCACAGCAAGAATTTCGATCCGAGTCTTTTAAAAAGGACTTGACTTTGCAAAGTCACGTCTTTTACAGTTCCCTCATTCCCCCTTTAGCAAGGGAAATATTGCAAAAGTCAAGACACGTTTGTTTGGTTCTTTCTATCTTCAAAATGAAACTTTGCTTATTTCTGATCTTTATTTTCCTGTCTTTGAACAAACAAACAAACAAAAAACCGAGATAAATTGCCTACGTCGGTTAATTCAAAATATAATTACTTTGAATGATCTTTGTTTAAGAGCCCAGATAAACTAAGATAATCTTAATTTTAATGTGACACGACCCCTATTTTTCCTTGCAAATCATGAGAATAAAGCAGTCATTAATTAATACCAAGATAGCTCCATAGAAGATGGTATCTGGTCTCGCTGAGACACTGAAACATCAGTTGTATTAGTAACTGATACTGTATAATTGAACATGAAGATAACCGTCGATTTTTAACCTCCAAGCTTAGAGTTTATTTGGTGATTACTGAGCTCCTAATAATTAATTTTTGTTCCTTCTTACTGCATAAATAATTCTTCTGCCAGTTCCCATGCAATGCAGAGGCTTCTCATTAAAACCTACCCCTCAAAATATAAGATTGTGAAGCTATATTGTGCAGCAACTCCTTCTACTCCATTATTTGTAACATATTTGTTCTATTTCATATCTTCCTGGTACATTTCCTTTGCTGTGATTTTCCTACTAAATATGTGAGAATATAATTATAACATCTTTTACCACAGCTTTGTCTTTCTGTGATCTCTTGGTTCAGTTTAATACACAATAGTTAAGACTTCAATTTTTCAAGTTTCTAAAATTTGAGGATAGTTCCATTGAAGAATCAAAAATACTTGTATAGTGAATTTGCCATGATTATATTCCCAACCTAACACACAGTCCACTTTAACTCACACTTTTCTGTTGTTAAAAATAGACTTTGCTCAAACACATTCCCTTTTTCCAACTTGAGTTGAAGATAGTTCTTACAATTTCCTGGGTTAAATGTACACACTAACACAACCTTTGACATTAAAAAACAAATTCCCCTCCCATGTTGGAGAGAAGTCTTCCAAACAGTTATGGAAATTTAGACTGTAGCTTTAAGGTATCTAATTATTTCTTAGCCTCAGTTATTTTGGGGCATCAATGATCTTCACTTTTTAAGTGGAAAGGGTTATAATATTTTTCTCATGTATACAAAAAACTCTCTACTTATTTTTCCGATAAAGTGTCTCCCAAGTATGACATGTTTTATACCACACAAATATTCTTAGTACCTCCACTACCAAATCCATGCATTTTCCTTGTCAGTGCTCTATCTAAAGTGTTGGAAAATATATAGGGTTTCCACTTTTATTTTCTCCTTAGTATAATTAAAACTTTAGGTCAATATATAACAGAGTGATTCTCTCCACTTGGATTTTATATTTTCCCACTATAATTTGGACTGAAATGGGATTAAAACAGGATCTAGAGTTCTAATCTTGGTTGATGTTTTGGTGTATTCACCGTAATGAGTCCTGTTCCCTGGGGTCATGAAGCTCCCAAATGTCAATCAAGCAAACTGATTCAGAAATGCCATTGTTCGACTCCCACGTCACTCGCCTTCCTCTCATTTTATTTAACAATACCGGAGTTCTCTGATCAGTCATTCGGAATATGAGGCATTATCTGGGGAAAATTCACAAAGTGTCTTGATCTTTCTTTGGGAGATACTGTTAAGGGGTTTCCGCAAAGCAAAAAGTGCTTGTTTATATTTCTGTCTTTGGACCGCACTATGGATGGAAAGAACCAATGAATACTGCTTGAAAGAAAATCATACCGTAAATCCGTCAAAAATTAATTCGTCCAGTTGAATGTTACATTTCTATTTTCTATTTTCGTATTGGAAGCACCCTGATTTGTCACCAGAGGAGAAGTATGACCCGGTCTGGGTCCAGTTGACATGCCCCCACTTTCAACCCTATTTTCACCACTTAATACTATTAACGTGTTTAGTCTACACTAGTTAACTAGGAATTTATTTAGGGGCGAGGAAGAGCTAACCTTTGCTCCCGGAGTTCTACCCAGCCCACTCAGATACGTCCGGGAGCCTCCGCAACTCGCATTTCCCAGTCGCAACCCTGGGTCATTCCTGCCTCCGTCCCAGCTCCCGCACAATTCCCAAAGCCAAAGGCGTCGAGCGTGCTACCGGCTCCCACCAGCACAAATTAATAATCAGCTTAACTCGTGGAGGCTTTGAGCCCCAGTGCTCCGTTCCCTGAAGCCTCCCAGTGCGGAGCCCGGCTCCTGCGAGGACTTCTTTGGAGGGGGGCAGGGACGGATTTCCTGGGAAAAGCCGTCGCTGGCGTGTTGCACCTAGAGGGCTGTGGGCAAGGAGGAACGCACCAATGTCCCAGTTCTGGGTTCTCAGATCGGGATTCCCCCAAAATCGCGACAGCCGCTTAGGTGTTGGGTGCTCGCGTTGGCAGCACAGAGCGCCAAACGCACGACCCCGCGCGCCCCGCGCGACCTCCACGAACACTTAGAGCCGAGGTGACAAGGGAAGGCGGCGGAGATGGGAACAGGAGGTGGAGCCGCTCTCTGGTGGAGCACGATCGATCACTTTAAAGTAAAGGGTTCAAAAGTTCCAAGTTCCCCTTTGGAGGGGAGAGGTAATGCTTCCCGCGGCCTGCTTCTCTCTGCGACCCGCAGGTTCCTGGCAGCCGCGCAACCACTGGGGATCTCGGCTGCAGCTTGCGGGAGCCCCTTCCGGGGAACAAGCTGTCCGGCCCGCGCAGCCGTGCGAGGTTGACGCAGCTGCTAGGGAGCAGTTTGGCTTCCCCGGGAGTACCGGAGTTGCTCGGCACAAACGTGATCTCAGCCCGCCGCGGCCGGGGCGCGCGCTTTTCCCTTTCTCAGCAAGCGGGAAAGGCCTGTTGGTAGAGGCCGGCGAAGTGCTGGCGGCCAGGGGGCGCGAAGCTTGGGCGGAAACCTGAGCTCCCTGCGACCTGTTCTGCTAGCAGGGGCTGGGGAGAGCCCCAATAAGCCGCCCCAGAGGCGGACCGTGCAAATTCCTGAGAAAAAGCCCTCTAGAAAACACCAAACCCTTCCAAAAGCCGTGGCTCTGCCCCTCCCTCGTCCTGCGGCCTTCCATCCTGCGCGCTCGCATCACACAGCCGGCCATCACCTGCGACCTGGCCAACGGCCTAGCCACCCCTCTGCGTCGCCACCCTGCTCTTAAGCTCCTTCTCCCTCTGACCTTTCTGAGGCCTGGGCGAGGGTAGCCAGGGTGCTGCAGAGGAAATGAAATTGTTCTGGAGATTACAGTGGGGCTTTGGGCCAGAAGGGGTTTTTCCTCCTTCTTTTTCTCATGCTTCCATGTTAAGTGCAAACTTGTATCTCCTGTCACAAGAATAGCCAAATTTTCTCGCTTATTTGCAGTTTTGCAAAGTTCTACACACAGATCAGTGAACCTTAAGCGCCCTTGTTCAGCCCCACATTGTGGAGGTTTGTCAGGGGCCCTGGGCAGTGAGCGTAATGACAGGTGAATCCAGCAACCCCAGGGGGAGCCCGACCTAACCCCAGGACTTACAGTAGGCCGGCGGGGCCAGAGGCTCCCCACACAGCTTCCAGCAACAGGTACCCTACACCAGAGCAGGCCTTCAGGGTTCTTCGGCTTAGGCCCTGGGCCCAGAAACTCCCTCAGTGACCTGGGACAGAGAGACCCCACCCACATGTCTTCCCCCAAGGTGATTCCTTGTCTCCAGATTACCCCTTGGTCACACAAGAACAAGAATCTCTGCTCTCTGTGCCACCTGCTCAGACACAGCCAGGCCTTGTTTCAGCTGCAGCAGAGGCCCTCACAGTGTAAGCCCATTGGTGCTTTCGACCTGCTTGTTCTTCTGACATGATTTAAAATAAAGAAGAGGAGGAGGAAAGGCAGAAGAAGAAGCAGGGAAGAGAAGGATGGGGGGCAGGGAGGAAGAGGAGCAGGGGAGATGCAGAATAAAAGATGACCAAAGGGGATCAGCACAAAATGGAACGATTCCTTTCTTATCCAAATTGCCCCATAACTCAGTGTTTCCCACACTCTAAAAAAACTGGTTTCAATAACTATTAACACTTTCTCAAAGTAACTTTTCTGAGTGAATTTTACTCTTGCACCTGACTGGACCCAATCTACCCCTCTCCCCAACCTGAAGAGAGGAATAGGCCATGTAGCTTCGGGGAGATAAATAGCTTTATAAGGCATAATAGCCTCCCTGTAGCCAGTCATCACTCCACAGAAAGCCAGGGAGATTCAAGCTGCGAAAACCTAGGTGCTTTGTTGCATAATCAATCTCAGCCTTAATCCAGCCAAGGTCAGCCCACATTAGATTCCCAAGAAATGGGCTTAGGGTTCCTCCTCCTGCCTGGACCATTCCCAGGTAAGGAGGTCCTTATAGACAAGTACATCTAGTACTTACAACCAAACTCCAAGTGAGAGCAAGTCATCATTTGTGATGAGAGTAGAAGACCATGGTAGAGAAGGGAGGAAGTGTAGATATGTATAAACATATGTTTGCTTTTGCCCAACTCTGCAATTCTAGCCTGACTCAGTCCATCCTCACTCAACTACCAGGGTAAAATAGAAATCAGCCTCTGGGTTGTCAGAGAGAGAGTAGTGGTTGTGTGTGTATGTGTT